GATGTGCAAGCGGCCATGGGGCGGGAACATCCACTTGGCGCCTGCGCCCGTAGGCCCGGGTTGGCCAGGGGCATTCTGGGACCCCGGTGGCTCAGAGCCTACGTGTGGGCCTACAGGCTAGGAGTGGCCTGGGTCCTGAGGTTGTTCCCGGGACCCAGGCCGCTCGGTGCTTGTGTATGCAAATTAACTCACCATCTTTGGCCGGTTAATTTACATACGCACTCCTGATTGGCTGGTGAGTGTAGCAGAGGGACGGTCAATTTACATGTTTCTCTTTTATTATATAGGATAGTGTGATGATGCCCATGGAGACGAGACATGGCACCCACACTTCTGAGTGTCGCTAGGTTATTGCCTATCTGCACGTGCCCTGGCTTTTGGTAGTGATCTCCGCCCTCCGTTAGAGGAAATGAATTCTGAACAACTCGGGGCTCTGAGAGCAAGTCCCCACATTCCTGCCGGGCCCCGCGAGCCATGGGGGGCAGGGGGCTCTCAGCAGCTGGATGGTTTGCTCTGGGACCAGCGACACTTTCCGGAGCACGTGCACCTCCTCTCCCCTGCAGCCCCTGGTGGACACAGGCCCAGGCACTGGTCCCGTGGGAACTCACCCCCTCGCCCGCGGGGGGCCCATCCTCCTCTCCTTCAACCGCTGCATCTCCGTCCCTGCGGGACCTGGTGGCAGAGAAACAGGCAGAGTCACCGGAGAGCCTGCCTCCCCGGGCGTTCCGCCTCCCGGGGTCCGGCCGCCCATGAGCTTGTTAATTACCAGGTTTGTCACCAACCCCAGCACCGGCGTGCCCGGCACGTGGCCTGGGTGCCGCCAGAGAATCTCCATGAATGGAGGATGGAAAACGCGATCATTGAAACAGGAAAGGAACCGCACGTGCAGGTTAGGCGAGAAAAGTTACCTTATGATGCCTGCGTCGCTGACAAAACTGGGGGATACAAAGTGGACATGAATTTTGTGGACATGTTCTTCCCAGAAGAACAAAATTTTGTTCACAACATTCTTCTGGGGCAGTGGCAGAAAGGGGCGAGTCCCGCACACTCTGGGTTGGAGAGCGCAGTGTCCTGCGTCACAGGCTTTCTTAAAAAGGTTTTGCTTTTTTCTAATTAAAAATGCAAGCTCAACGCCCGGCCGCGTGGCTCCGTGGGTGAGCTTGGACCCGGGAACCAGGAGGTCACGGTTCAGGGCACAGGCCAGGGCTGCGGGCTCCATCCCCAGTGTGGGGATCCCCAGTGGGGGGCGTGCAGGAGGCAGCCGATCCATGATTCTCTCATCGCTGATGTTTCTCTCTCTCTCTCTCCCTCTTCCTTCCTCTCTGAAACCAATTAAAATATATTTTTAAAAAATTTAAAAATAAAGGAAGCATAGGAGACGGGCCTGGTGGCACGATGGTTAGCAGACCACCATCTACCTGTGCTCAGGGCGTCTGCCCAGGGCTGCCCCACTGCGGGGACCCCCAAGTCAAGCTGGGGTAGGGGTAGGGGTAGGGGCCGCTCTTCCGGCTCCTCGGGCCAGGGGCCACCGCAGGGGCAGCACCCGAAGACCATCCCCCACCTGTCCTCTCCCCCTTAGAGACGCTTGCGCCCCGCTCTGCCCCAGGGGCTCCCACAGTGGTTGCCATGGTTACTGCGGGGCGAGTGGGTCCCGGTTTGGGGGAGCACCTGGAGCAGGGACAGAGGGAGGCTGCGGGAGCAGACAGGGGGCGGTGAGGAAGGAGAGGGGGTGCGCAGGGGCGGGAGCGCC